AAATTATTTGGAGGCTAGAGCAGCTTGCATATACATGAATATTAAACAGCATTTGAGATTATGTGGTTTGAAACAATAGGATACATGATATCTCAGTGTGGAAAATATGAAGAAAAAAAGACATTTCCTCATCCTCTTTCTTACCCAGCGTTAAGGACTTGAGATTCCCAATGAATCTCAATGCCCAGGAAATTTAGGACCAATAAAAATAAATATTTCTCTGCTTGATGCATAACTATGGAACTGATTGCCAGCAGGTGCCAACAAAGGTCACCCATTCAGATGGTTTGGAAAGTGAACTTCATCTTGAAAGAGAATTTATCTTAAATCCACAGCAGAAGAAAATGACTCTTTGCCTTGTCTCCTACTTGAAAGGTTTCAGGATACATTGGCTTGGCAACTCTGGCCCTAGAAGAGTGAACCAGATGGGCCTTTAATACAATGCAACATTATTTTACTACTTTCAGGACACAGAAGAGAAGCAATATGAGTGGTTTGTGTAGGAATCAGAATTACAGAAATAACTGTTATGGGAAAATAGACAAGTTTGAAGGAGGATGTATCCTAACCACCTTCCTTGGCTGGATTGGATTTTTCTAGGCCTGTGTTTTAATGTCTTTGCTGAAGTTGTTCCTTGTTAAATAATCACAACCTGATTTATTATGGAACATCTGCAATATGAGAAATTAACTTACCTCTGCAGTAAGGTGCTTTCAAATCTCCTCGCTCACCTCTGCCTGACTCATTCCCAATTTACTCTCGTCCTTCTTGCCCTCCAAAATTCTGCTGACCTGGATTCTAGAGTGTTAAAGTGTCCTTATTTTGAATAGAAACCCTGAGTCAAGGCCAGCAAACATGTCCAAGACTGGCTTCATGTCCCAGAACAGAATTTGCCCAGGGCTGTGGAACTGAGATCTACAGAGCTTTTTCTCCATCCATGGAGAAATAGAAGAAAAACTGACTTCTATAAACCAAAAGTGACCTTTTAAAGCAACCCCTCTTATCTTCTAAGAATAGAACATACTTACCATTTCTTATTTACAGAAATGGGAGCAACTTCAGAGTTAGTGAAAATGCCCATTTTAATATAAGCCTTTAATTCTTTTCCATTTAATTATAAGATTTTCTGAAAAGTCACCATTGCAGTCGAAAATATACAAAGGCCAGTTACAATATTAAAACTCTATTTTAGAATACTTAATCATTTTGTTCATTAACATTCTTTGTGGATCCACTAATAAAGTCTGTTTCAACCTGAGATTAACCCCTAATGATTTCATGAACCCATCCATAGAGTTTTCTCAGTAACCATACCAAAGTATACTACCTTCTCTCAGAATGATTTTTCAGCTTTCCACGATATACACTTGGGATTCTTTGGCAGCCTCCCATCCAATTTCTAATCAAGTCTGACTCTGCTTAGCTTCCACCTGTGAAGCCTCTTGCTTTTAGCAATCTTTCTAGATAATAAGGTTCTGCCCTGTGGGGGATATTCTATACTTCCATACACGATCACTGTGAGGATTCTGAATTGCTGCAATCTGGCTGTAAAGGTCAGGCTATAAATTGTACTGGCTTTGTGAGTCTTATGCAACATTTCTGAGAGTTTATAACAGGGAGTATCCAATCTTGGCAACTTTCAAGATTTGTGGACTTCAACTTCCTGAATTCCCCAGCCAACATGGAGAACAAAGTCCACAAGTTTCAATTTCAATTTTCAATTTAATTCAATTTATATGCCGCCCCTCTCCGAAGACTCAGGGTGGCTCACAATACATTTAAAATCCTAATAAAAAACATTTAAAAATTAAAAACATTAAAAACATTAAAACTCATTCATACCATTCATGGCCAAATCTCGCCGGATCGCAAGAGCGAGATCAGTGGCCCCAGGCCTGCCGGAAAAGCCAGGTCTTCACTGCTTTTCGGAAGGCCAATAGGGTGGGGATGGTCTGGACCTCAGGAGGTAACTGGTTTCAAAGAGCTGGGGCAGCCACAGAGAAGGCCCTCCCCCGTGGGCCCACCAGCCGGCATTGTTTAGCTGACGGGACCCAGAGGAGACCAACTCTGTGGGATCTTACCAGTCACTGGGAGCTATGCGGTAGAAGGTGGTCTCGAAGATAACCTGGCCTTGAGCCATGTAGGGCTTTAAAGGTAATAACCAACACCTTGAATTGTGAACGGAGACCAATAGGGAGCCAGTGCAGCTCGTGGAGAATTGGTGTAATGTGGGTGTACCTAAGTGCACCCACGACAGCTCGCGCGGCTGTGTTCTGGACTAACTGTAGTCTCCGAACATTTTTCAAGGGTAGCCCCATGTAGAGCGCATTGCAATAATCTAACCGTGAGGTGACAAGGGCATGAGTGACCGTGTTAAAGTCTTAAAGTTGCCAAAGCTGGACATCACTGGTTTATAACCTACAACCTTCACTAACTATTGGAAGTCAAAAGTGGCCATATGTCTCCTTTTCCAGGATGCCCAGTAGATATGGCCCTACCAGCTGCCTGTTCAGTTTCAATGTAAAAGAGAACTTTGCAAAGAGAGATTAATATAGGGAATTCCTCCACAAAAGTAGAAAAACTGCAAGAAGCTCAAGAAGTCTTACCTCTAAAGGAATACAAAAGGAATTTAAAATCTTCTGTCTTTAACAATGATAAATTAACTGAATCTACTTCAGTTGGGAAGTTTAATATTGGAAAAAAGGAATGTGTAGATTCATAGCCATGGCTGACTTTTTTTTTTTTTAACCGTACCCCGACAACACCTCTGGTGCAGACATATGAAAGCATTTGTTCCTTTATTTTTTAAGGTATTAGGATTCTTTTCACAACCCAGAGCTCAACTTTTATCTCTATTGTTTTCCTCACTGTCAAAATTTAGATTGAAATTTAAAGAACCTTTTAAAGAATTTGATTGAATTTGATTATGATTTGGTCAGGAAACTATAAAGCATCCTTTGGTGAAATAATAAAGCATGACTCCCCACTCCATCCCAATTCTGCTGGGAGTTTTCCCTAGCCTGATACAATGGATACAGCAACCCTAATTCTCACCTACAATGACTTTCTCCAATCCTGGAAAATAACAGGTTAAGGAAGACTGGTATATCGAATCACACATTACAAATTGTAAATTACATTTAATAATATGTTGTAATAGTATATAGTACACATGACATCCTATTTTACTATGCTATCAAAACTCTCAGGATTTCTGCAAGAATTACAAGCCTATTTTACAATGTTGTGGGACGGTGAAACAATTCCTGTTAATGATCATTAAAAAAAAAGACATATTTCATTTCATAGTTCTCAGAACTACCACATAACACCTTTCTCTCGATTGACATGAATCTCCAAGATTAAAAAAAAAATACTTCTAAACAAGCATGGATGCCAAAAACACTCAAAAGATTTAAATGTTATTTTACGGGGTTTTATTTTTTGGTGCGGCATATGCATAAGGAAGCATCAAAAGAAGAAGAAAGTTGTACTCTACTGGATAATGGCAGAATAAAACCTGTTGATTATCCAGCACTTGGAGGTATCCATTTCTGTGCAGAACCAAGCTAATGGACCAATCTACTCAAGAAGGATTCTGTTTACAATATTGCATATTCCTGGGCAGATATCCTGTTTCTAACAATGCAACTTGATACTCATGAATAGTTTACACCAGGCCATGGCTATGCCTGTAGCCAAAATTAGCCAAATACCTTTCATCTTGTCATCTGGTGGACTCTGAGTGACCTATACAGCCATAACTGTGTTAAAGGAATAAAGACGATTCAGGTGATCATTGATAATTGAACGAGCTATTCTGGTGGGTTTCCCTGCATCCTCTTTTCTTCACATCAAATATCCATTCTTTTGCCTTTTGCCTTTTACAGTTTACTGTAGGTTTTCTATTCTTTTCAAGGTTATAGCAACTCAAAAGAGACCCCTGCTGGATTGCTTACAAAATCGATTTTCAACTCCAGTCAAACAATTTACACTTCTGTGCAAACTTTTCACACCTTTTGCGGATAAACTCACTTAACCTCATCAATAGTTCATGTTCTCCAAGATAGGCAGATAAAGAAATAAAATTGATACTACAGTGGCAAAAAAAAAAAAAACCAACTCAAAATCCACAAGACTCCTATTTGATGGCAGGAAAAACTTTTATTAAGTACATCTTTAGTTTTCTGGGAATGACAATACCAGGAAGGGTTCCTTAGGGTGGAACCTCTAGAAAGGTTTGAAGCGCATCAGATAGATTAGCCTTCCACCGTGTTTCTATGAACTCAGACATTTTCTGAACAAACTTGTTTTGCGTCTACAGGTGTTCAAAGCCAGGTTATCATTTCACGATGGTGAGTGCAAAACAATTATTCTCGCTCCTTAGGATAAAACCCCTGAACCCTTCACACAGCCTGAAAGAGGTTCCAAACCTATTTTGCAGGTGGCCTCAGGCTTCTATTTAAAAAGGGGTGGGGGTTTGACTATTGTTTATCCTCAGTACAATTCTAGATAATTTCTCTTACAATCAGCCCTGTGTATGTATATATCTGTGTATGAATTTTTAAAAATAAACCTTAGCATTGCATGATTAATAGACACACCCATAATTATCGAGTGATACAAACTGGGATGATTATAGGTAATCCAATTAAGGAATCCTAAATGGGTGATCCTTTGCATTGAACTCAGGATGAGTTCAATGCAAAGGGTCGGGACTCGATCGTTGACCCCTTTTTACCCAACTTCTCCAAGCTTCGCGTGATCTTTTCTTTCCCACCGAGAAACCCAAATCTTCAAGCGGATTATACTAACAAGGAAAGAGCGACATCCGGAGTAGCGCGGGAAAACCCGAAGCGGTTTCAACCCGCTTCAACAAAAGCTTGCGCGCCGGTTTAGACGGCGCTCCCTTCCCTCAAGCCAAGGCTTCCACGTGGCCCCGGGCTCAGCCGGCCGAGCCGCCCCGCCGTCGGGGGCTTTCGCTTGCGCGCCCTCCTCACCTGTCGATGCTGATCACGCAGAGAGTCATGATGGAGGCGGTGCAGCACATCACGTCCATGGCGATGAAGACGTTGCAGAAGCCGCTGCCGAAGATCCACTCGCCGCCGATGAGGTCGGTCACGCTGACGAAGGGCATGACGGCCACGGCCACCGACAGGTCGGCCAAGGCCAGCGAGACGATAAGGTAATTGGAGGGCTGGCGGAGCTTCTTGACGAAGCAGACCGAGATGACCACCAGGCAGTTGCCCGCGATGGTCAGCAGGGTGATGAGCGTCAGGGCGGCTCCGATCACCACTTTCTCCACGTTGCCATAGCTCAGGATCTGCTCGCCGCACTGCGTGTCGTTGCCGGCGTCGCCGAAGCCCGGGCTGAGCGCGCTGGGACCGCCGGTGGTGCTGCTCCCGCCGACGCCGCCTCCGACGCCGCTGCCGACACCTTCGCCTCCCGCTCCGGGGCCGGCGGTGACCCCTTGCAGAAGTTTCCCGCCTATCCCTAAACGGGGCGGATTCAGCGAGCCAGAAATCATCCTCGCCCCGCCGGTGCCGCCCAACGGCCGGGGAGGCTCCGGCGCCAAGGAGTCCAGGGCGCTGCTGCTAGCCAAGACGGGGCAGCTGCTGGCGCCGTGGCAGACGAAGACCATATTGAGGAGGGCTACCCACGAAGCCCACTGCCGCCAGCCCGCATGCCCGCCTCTCCACGCGGCGGCGGCGGTTCCCAGCGCTCCGGCGTCCCCGGGCTGCTCCCGCCCACGCAGCCAGCCGCTCGCTCCGGGCCGCCGAAGCTGCGCCTCTCTCCGCCCGCTTCACCTGGAGCCGGAGCCGCGCGCAGAGGCCAAGCGCCACTTCCCCGCCGCCGAGGGCTCTGGCATAGTCTGCGGGGCTGCCTCCGGCGGGCGGCGGCGCGGACGCAGAGCGAGGAGATCCGCCTCCACAGGGGGCAGTGCGAGCTCGGCGTCAGCCCAGCTTCTTGGTCCGAGGGCCGGGACCTCGCGGCGCTTCGACGGCAATGGCCGGAATCCCAAGTCGTGCCAGAAATCGAGAACTTTGCGGAGCGCAGTAGCGCTTCTGGCGGGGCACCCGTCGGCGCAGGCGGTGCGGAGGGGGGAAAAAAACGCTCCCGGGTGGAGGCTACTCAGAGGCGTATCTCCCCTCCGGATGGAGCCCGAATCGCCGGTTCTGTTCCTGAGCGCATCGAGCGTGCGCTTCAAAAAGTCTGAAGCACCGCGGAGAGGGTTCCTTGCAAACAGACCTGGAAAGCTGCCTTTTCTTCGCTGCTCTCCGCTAGCCCGGCGGCTTTCTGCAGCCTCCTACGGGAGCCCTGCGATTTATACCGGTTTTTTCTTTACCGTCCTCGAATCGGTTGTGGACATTTAAGTGCTCCCCGCGCGGCTGGACTTTCGGGTGGTGTCACAGGCAGCAGAGGAGCGAGGCGGTCCAGCAGTTTGAATGCCGGACTTCAAGCCGGCGATTTGTGAGTTTCCTGGCTTCGCTTCTCTTCCCAACCCAGCCGCACCTGCGGATGGGGAAAGGAACCCCGTGGTTCGTAACGTTAGGCAGGGCGGGATTTGGCCATCTTTGGCCGCTTTCTCCCAGCCCATCTTGTTCCCTTCCGATGTGGTCACTGGGATACGTTTCTTTAAATAGCGATGTATCTACTGAGGATTTCCAATCCCTTCCTCGGGGTCTTCCCTTGTTCCTGGAGCTGCCACTGCAGTGCAGAGATGCTAGGCTTTTTTTAAAAAAAGAAAGTTTATAATAAAAGAAGTATCTGGAAAAAGAGCAGTCTGGTTGAATTTTTTTTTTTTTAAAAAAGGTTCATCATTTAGGAGATCAGCAGACCAATGTTAAAATAATAATTAAAGACTCTTGATGCTTCAGGAGATAACTAGACCCACGTTTAAAAAAAAACAAACAGGATAGTGAGAGAAAAATTCACATTCACCGTAATTCATGAAAAATACACAGTCCAGATGCAGTTATATTGCAGATTTCCTGTTTCGCCCCATTCTGTTTCAGCCAGCTGCCCTTCCCATGCTCCACTTACCAGATAAAATTGGGGTGGGGGGAGGAATTGCCATGGGAGATGGAAAGTCCTGAATTTTAAAAAGTAGGGGAAATGAAGCTATACAATTTTAGCTATACAATTTGGGATGAACACCCTTGGAATGGGAGTAGGAATGGATTTCCAGAGGAAAAAAATTGCAGGCTACAGGAACCATTAGCACTACTCATGTGACCCTGAGGACAGAGATAAACCTCCAAGTGCTTCAGTGACCCTCTAAAAGGATGCAAATGACCGGCTGTCTGTAAAGAATATAAATCCTTCCATTCCTCACTATCCTGTCAGAGCTGAAGAAGCTTCTTGGGTGAGAAGTGAAACGTCTTCAAAGAAAAAACAAGAAAGTCCAGTTGCCTCCTGAAAAGCACCTTTGGAACAACCATGACCTGGATGACTGAGAATCTCTACAGACTTTTAGGAAAAATGAAATATCCTGGTTGACAGGCCCATTCTATTCATGGTAGGTATCTGTCAAAATGGATGTATGCCTAAAGATCGGGCATGGATCCCACAGCACTCCGAAGCGGTCAAAGCGAGTTTGGTCAGTGACAACACCGATGAGGCCTTATAGATTGTATAGTAGGAATTATGTCAAAAGAAGGAAAACACTAAAACAACAAAACAACTAAAAACAATTTTGGATTGGCTTTTCAGTGGGATTGGGCCCTCCAAAACAGTCAACAAAGTGCTTGTGTGCTACTATGAAGATGCACCCATCACACAGCTTTTACTGGACTGTGAAAGTTTGATGCATTACTGATCATCGGCCTAAAAAATGGTCAGATGCCAATATAAATTTGATAGTGTGGAAATTATCTGACCTGAGTGCCTGTTAAGATTTGAGGTGTGCACGGATAATACTTTGCTCTGAACAGTTTTTTTCTTTCTCATGAAAAGCGAGTCAACCTTACAAGCTCAGGTTTTTTCAAGGATTGTTGAATGCAATATCTAATGGAGAATGAGTGAAAGATCATACCAAGCCTACTCAAAACAGTGGAGTCAATTCACACAACCAATGCATTGTCCAGTCATATCTCTGGTCATTGCATATAGCAAGAGCATTTAGACTTTTATACCGCTTCATAGTGCTTTATAGCCTTCTCTAAGCGGTTTAAAGAGTCAGCATTTTACCAACAATTTGGGTCCTCATTTTACCAACCTCGGAAGGATGGAACGCTGAGTCAACCTTGAACTGGTTGGACAAACTCCTGGCAGTGGGAATGCAATTAGCCTGCAGTACTGCATTCCAACCACTATACCACCACAGCTCTTACCGCCATATAGCTGATGCTTATAGACACAGGGGTAGCTAACCACAATATAGCCTGCCATTCATGCACACACACTACACAGCAGATTTCGGTTCCGTAGCAGGCAGAAATCCAATGGATGTGACTATTCATAGGAAGAGAACCCAACTGCTGTCAAACGAAACACATTGTGCAGTGTTTCTATCTATTTCATCACAAAAAAAACCCCACAGACAATTAGTGGAAAAATAAAATAACCCAGTGATTACCCAGTAAAAGCCTGATCTGGGAGGACTCCAAATCTCTGCAGAAAAACCTTCACTTCCATCTACTGATTAGAGTTTAAATCAAGAGATCAGCAGGTAGAGAAGTTAACAAAAGTACTCCAGAGATTAGGCCAAAAGAGATTGAAATTGGAATATGTGACTTCTACGTTCCCTACAGGATTTTCTTGTTAGGCCCAGGAAATTGGATTAGCAATAGGGCTGCCTGTTTGATTTGATGTGATTTCATTTTATCATTTGGGGGTTTTCTCAGCCATAGGTCCACAATTCAAGATTTAGCTGTGTTAAAGCTTTGTTAAAAGATGTTCCATCAGATGCACAGAACGTTTCTTAAATATATTTTTGAATTACCTCAAGAGCAGCCCTTATTTTAAGTTTTTAATAGTTGCCTGTAGTAGTGCTTGGGGAGGAGGGGGACCAGTGGTGGGACTCAGCCAGTTCGTACCTATTCAGGAGAACCGGTTGTTAAAAGAAATCTTATTTTGGTTTTTTTCCACTTTACAGAGCTAATCCTGTAAGGAAGGCAGGAAGGAAACATTCTGGTGGTGTTTCTAGCCTAATCTTTATTGCCCTGCTTACAGAAACTGCCTCTCTGGTTAACCCTTATTACATTGTAACAGCTAAGGTGCTTCACCCATAGACGTGAGTGATGTTGAATTGGCCACGCCCACACAATCACATGACCACTGAGCCACACCTACCCAGCTGGTCATTAGGGCAGAGAACCGGTTGTTAAATTATTTGAATCCCACCACTGAGGGGGACTAAAAAGTTAAGATGGTGAACACCATGTGATCAAAGTCCACCCTTTTGAGCATATGCAACACACTTTAAAATGGGCCAATTGCATGGTTGTGGCAGCCATCTTGTCTGTTTTGACTTCCCCCTACAGACACTCCTGCTTTTGTAGATGGGTTCTGTCAAGCGGTTCTGAATGATTAATGGAAATGCTTATGCCACCATCATACCCTTACCCAATCCCATCAAATTCTTTAACCAGGATCTGTGCTTCTTGGAAACCAAGCAGTTTCATCAGAACATAATCCAGTTCTATTAAACAAATGGTGCCCCTTGTGGGATCAGATGATTGCACCATGTAATACTTCATTGAGAGCAGGTCAGTGTTTCTCAGCCCCAACTTTAGGATGTATGGACTTCAATTCCCGGAATTCCCCAGCCAACATTCTGGAGTTGAAGTCCACCTGTCTTAAACTCACTGAAGTTACGAAACACTGGTGTAGATAAAGTGTCATGTGTAATTCAGCTCTTTAAAGGTTGGTAGGTTAGATCAGTGGTCCCCAACCCCCGGTCCGCAGACCGGTGCCGGGCCGCGGAGTACCTGGCACAGGGCCGCACAGCGGCCGGGGGACATGAACGCTGCAGCGCAAAGGCTCCTGGGCCGTGCGCAATGGGCCGTGCGCAAAAGCTCCTGGGCCGTGCCCCCACCCCTGCGTGCGCTCAGCGGGCCGCGGCGATAAAAAGGTTGGGGACCACTGGGTTAGATGATATATTCTTCACCGTACCAAGTGCCTTGGAGCACGAAGGTGATCAGGACTTAATTATCTTAATGTATTTTCATAAAATGAAGTAACAAATTATGACAATATTATTGCACCCCTTTTACATCAGAATGTGATTTACTGATATGTGTCAACATCAGAATCTGTAGAATGAAGAATTTTTAAAAATGCTACGACAGTACTAACTGGAGGAAAAAGACCAAAAACTGGTGATTTGAGGCCATAAGGGTGGGGGGAAACACTTTAGAGACAGGGCAAGTCCATTGCAAGAAAAATTCTTCTTCTGGATAGTCTGGAAGAGCATTTTTAGACACAAAACATCTTTCCATATTTCCTTTTAGCCGAGCTAGAATTGAGTATTTTTAGGGTTGTAGTTTTTTTAGATTTTATATGACTATTCCACAGAGGATTTGGTCACTGTTTCTTTTTCTTCTTCACTTTGGTGGTCACTGACCATATTAAATACATTTACTTCGAATTTGAAGGAAATGGCTTCCTTCTCAAATCAACCTTCATTTTGTTCTGGGCCTTTCAAAAAATTCGCCATTGTCTAAAGCAGGGGTCTCCAACCTTGGCAACTTTAAGACTTTGCTGGCTGAGGAACTCTGGGAGTTAAAAGTCCACAAGTCTTAAAGTTGCCAAGGTTCAAGACCCCTGGTCTATAGTCCTGGAAGAATGTCAGGAAATGACAAAATAGCCCTTAATTCTCCCACCGCTATGTTATACAGAGATTGGTTTCCATCCTAGTGAGCTGTGCTAGGTTGGAGTGCAGATAAGCCCTGCAAATTTCTTATCCTCTTATTAACACAGTGTTGGCTAGTGGATTTGACTTACTGTTGAAGGCTGGATGCTTCATTTATTCTGCATGGGTTGCCCTAAAGAGTTGATTTATGCATCCCATTAATTTCTTGCCCTTCTATTTGTGTCTGAAGCAAAAAGTGTTGGTTGACATAAAATAACCCATTCCAAATATCCATCAGTTGCAGAAAATAACCAAACCAAAGATCAACATGTCATTTGCTACAAACTCATTTTCCTTGACCATTGCTCAGGTCTTCGCTTGTGTTAATTGAATCTAGTGACAATCTCAATGCAATCAGGAGAGCTAAGGGATGGAGCATTAAGTCAAATGCCCGAATAAAAAAAGGAATATATACATTCTGGCTAAAGTGTTTTTTTCTTCTCAGTTTGGCTCCTTTCAGGTGCTTTATGGATGCAAGACTAATTATGGGAGTTACTGTTCCAACGCATATACACAAAGTAGGAGTCTGTGTTTCCTAATTTGATATAAATCTTCTCCCATTAAACATCAAAGTACACAGTTCCCAAAGCTAGTCAAGTTAATATTTGAAATCCAAAATTCTATAACAAGTGGCAGCAATGATCTCCTTTGGACTGGTGCTTTGATTTCCATTTTGATTTCCAGGAATCAAAATGGAACAATAATACAATAAATAACTAATCTGT